GAAACTAAACCTAATATCTACACCTATACTGAAAAGATGGTAGTTATAAGCCATATGTGGCCATTTAAAGTTTAAATTAATTATAATGAAATACAATGGAAAATTCAGTTCCTTGGTCATAGTCTTCACATTTTAAATGCTAAACAGCACATGTTGCTGGTTGCTACCATACTGAACAGAGCAGAATATAAAACATATCCATCAGCACACCAAGTTGCATTGGACAAACCTATGTCTAGAGCCAAAACTGGCTATTATATATAAACAAGAAAATTATCCACTCAGGTAAACAGTACAATAGTGTCTTACCTTTGTACATAGGTGCAAAAGTCAGCGTAAATAAGGCAAAGTCAGCATACATAAAGGAAAAACAGCTTAATGTCAAATTTTCCCTTCAGAAATATTTTAGAAAGGGTTGATTTGGAGACTATCTCTTAGCGTGTTCCAAACTGAAGTTTTACATCAAGTGCTGGAGCAGATCTTTGGTTTTATTTTGGTTGAGTACCAGATGGAAGATTTCGTTTGTAGTCAGGGGTGATGCATAAGAAATACTAACGGTATCTTTAAATACATTTCTGGAAGCTGAAGGTTTCAACGTTGAGAGCCGCAGGAAACAGAACCCCATTCTTAGAGTCTTGGCTTTTTTGATGGGATGAGAGGCAGACTTAACCACCAGATTTAAGTTATTCTTTTTCTACCTGTGGCATTTTTTGGCTTTGTTTATTTTGATGCCAAATGTGTGAAATTGAAGTTTGAGTACGTTCACAGAGTGATTCCTCACCAACAGTCGGCGAAGCAAACCTTTCTTTGCTAAGGGCTTAAAGAAAGTGTTTCCTCTAGGCCAGACTTCTGTGGTTTGTTATTGACTGCACAGAGCTGCTCCCATCATTCCTTGTGGGGAAGACCAAAACTTTAACCACGTCAGCAAGCGTTAGGACATTTACACTGGCCCCATAGCCCAAATGTGAAGTTAGTGTGCCCTGATGAGTTGTGAGCCCTTGAAGTACAAAGAGCATTCAGACCTCTGGAAGCCAAATGAAACCTTTTAGACCCAGATGCCTTTCTGGTCACCCCAGAAAGCAATAAACTCTGTCTTCCCCAAACTCTCATAGCGTGCAGAGAGAGTCCTACCCACTAGGTCTGGCACTGAGTACTTACAGACATTCATCTTTACATATATTTTATGCACATATCCTGCCTTTCCAGTTGTATCATAAATTCTTCAAGGATAAATGGTGTGTGTCTCATTTCTTTTTATAACCCACAGTGTCTAATATGATGACTTCTTATAAAAGTGCTCCATTAATATCTAGAGTCACTAGTTCATCAGTTATAAATGATTCTCTTGTAGGAGAGACGCACTATGGACATTAATTAATTACACTTAAAAGCATAACTATTTTTAAAGGTTGGTAGTTGTCTTTCAAGTTGAGGCTAAATTTTAAAAAATATTTACTTATTTTTAAAGTTATTGAGGATTGCAAGGGGACTCCCAAATCAGGAATGTATGTGATTTACAAATGCAAAGAGATTGTCAGCAGTCTTAAGCAAACCTGTGAGGAAATCCCATGCATGTCACTTTAATTCAGGCCTGTATGAGAACAAGAACAGTCCTATTTTTTCCTTTTCCCCTTCCTTTCTTTTATTTTTCTGGTTTTTGTTTTGTACTGGGGATCGAACCCAAGACCTTTGTACTGAGCTGCTTCCCTATCCCTTTTTTCTTTATTTTAATTGAGTCAGGGTCTTATCAACTCACTAAGTTGCCAAGGCTGGGCTGTGATCCTCCTGCCTCAGCCTCCTGGAGTGCTAGGATTACAAGCAGGTGCCACCATCTTGTGTGATCTCATGCTCTACTATGCTTTTTTTTTAATTTGAGGATTAAAAAATGTGATAAGGGAATGGTTAATTAGAATCTTAATGTAACAAAGCGTACTATTCCATGAAGACTCTCATTAGAAACAAAAATTGTTTTGAGCTGTTCTGCATTATTTTCTGCATATCTTCCATGTTCAATTTTAGTATACCATTAAATGTCACTTTGTGCTGAGCTAGAGGTCATTTTTATTGCATTAGGAAAAATCCTTCAAGTCAGTTTCACAAATATCACTCTATTTAAAAACAGTGCACTGCTGATTCTGGTTAGATTTTTAAATAAATTAAGACTCCAGTAAAATTATACAAAAACACATTCTGATGAATTAGAACAATCTTGAGGATTACTATATTTTTTTAGTGCTGAAAATGGAACACAGGGCTCATACATGCACTATGCTGCTGAGCTATATACCCAGCCCGTTAAGATTAGCGCTTTTTATACTATGTCTTTATAAAACTGTGGAGGATTACCATAGACCCTGGAGTCACAATGATTTTAAGCTCTGGTTTGATCAGTTGTAAGAAATATTTTTACTCCTGAATACCTGTTGTCACTTCTGGTTCTCCAAACACATTGCCAGCAGTACTGCTGCAATCCTTAATCCCACAGGAGGAAGATGAAGGCTGCATGTTTAAAGCCTCCCTTGAGCACACACCTCAAATCCAGAGGGCTCAAATCCCCACTCGGGACTCCTCACCCTCATTAGACTTGCCCTTTACCTCCTCCTCTTCCTGGAACAACTGCTTAGGCACACCTTATTTGTACCTGTTGTTTTAGGATTAATGACAGCAGAGGCATGGTGGTTTCACACCTGTAGTCCCAGATATACTTGGGAAGTGACAGTGAGAGGATCCTGAAGCCTAGGAGACAAGTTTGGGTGACATGAGAGTCCATTTAAAAAGGAACAAATTAAAAGAAAGGGAGGCACTGGGTTATTAGCAGATGCTTGTTATCCTTCTGACTCATGAAAGCTTGGAAGGCCCCCAAATTCTACATCATCTCCAAGGCCTGTGACTGGTTTGCTGTTTCCCAGGGCCTATTATTTAGGGATCGTTTGTTGCCCTATCGAGCAATGGTGCCTCCTTGCCTCCTATTTGCTCACCTAGTCAACCTCTTTGGGGAGATGGAAGGGTGTATCAAAGTGAGACTAAGCGTCAGCGGCTGTCTCTTGCCCTGCTCTCTAGGTTGGGCACCTTAGATACACCCATTTAAATTAATTATGGAGTGTATGTTTCACAAAGCAGTTCTCTGCCTCATGTGGGGCTTTTTTGCTTTTTTGGAAAAGCCATTGTGAAATTCACATGGTGATCAGGAAGCAAGTGGCTGGAGCAACCCTGCAACATTGTGTCAGTAGCATTTGTGTGTGTGTGAAGACTTCAAGCTCATTTCAAAAGGCCCTGAAAACCATTACTGCTTGCTCTTTAGCTCTTTACCAATCACATGCACATCTGCCCCACTCTCCAGCCTGCTGTTTGATTTTCCTGTGAATGGCCAATGCAAATGCTTATTAAGAAGGAAAACAGACCTCCTCCAGAACCTCAATCTTTTAGGAGCATTCATTATTTAAGATGGACACCTGAGTGCTACTTTACCCTAAACCAGCGCAAAGTAGGATTTCTACAAGAGTCCTTTGAAAGGCAGAATTCTTTAAGGTAGAGGCAGGAAGGGGAGTGAAGGTTAAGTTAGGAACAACACCACACAGTTGTCATGTTCTGATGGCAGGTATAGGATTTTGGCAAGGTGGGATCTACATTTTGAAAAAGTTTTCCTAGAACAATGGCCACTGGTCAGAATCTCAAGGCCCATTCATCCCAACAGTGTGATTCAGTGATTGGCCAGGAGTTCCTGAAGGCACAGTCGCTTAATCTGGGATGCAGAACAATTTACATTCAGGTCATTTCTCAAAAACACAATCTCCTGGGTCCTACTCCAGACCTACTAAAACAGACTCTTCCAGGGGTGGGGCTAGAGTTGCTGCCCCGTAAACAGACTTTCTGGGTGATTTTTAAGCACACTGAAGTTTCAAACCACCAGAGACTTTTGTCTTTTTACTCATGGATGGATCCAAGAGCCTGCAACTACAGACACAGCTCAATAAACCCTTGTTGCTAAGTGAGGACCCTGAGGGTTTATGTCACTCAGAGGCTCCAGTGACCCATTTCTTCCAGACCATCTAACAATGCAACATGCTGCCATCAAACAAGTATAATATCATGTCCCCCAAGGTACTGTCTTAGCCTGACTGGGGTGTGGGGGTTCTCCTATCTGTGCCCAACAGTTGTAGTAAATTGTCCCCACCTTAACAGACCTCTTCCCTGTCTGGACTGAACTGCAAAAGCCACATCAGAACAAGCAGCAAACTACTCTCAGACTTTTGCCCTCTTAATAAAACTAATTAAGATCTAATTAGCCTTTGATAACTGGTAACTGGACAAATTTCTATTTGCCATCCAGTAATATTTGTAGGTTTAATAACCAAAGGATCAAATTCCCTAATTATTTAAACCACAGGAAAGGGAAGAAACATAGTCTTGCTAATGTATACATATGGTACTAAGGCTGTATTACCAGGAATTCACTTCTTCAACAGGTGACTGGATAAAGAAATGAATATCCATACAGTGGAATACTGCACAGCAGAAAAAACTACTGATACACACATGAATGAAGCCAACCCCAATAGATTATACATTGTGTGATGTACCTTTTATGACATTCAGAAAAATGCAAAATTCTACGCAAGGGAAACAGAACTGTGGTTCCCTAATCAGTTATATTTGGGGACAAATTTAACTACAAAGGGATGGTACAGGAGAATTTGGGGGGTAGAGGCAAGGTAATGATTTTGTATCCTAATAAAATGATAGTTACATTCTGAATGTTACAACTCATAAAACTGTACACCAAAAAATGAATTTACTGTAAGCAAATTACATTTACTGTAAGCAAATTACTCATTTGGTCTCTGGAAGCCCCTAAGACACTTCCCTATTTTAACTCAAGTGTGGGAAACACATTATCAAGTGGTCTTAGAGTGTAAGTGAAATTGAGGGATCATTGCTAGTCCACACAGTCTATGCTAAGTGTATTATAGGACCAAACACAGCATGTAATAAACTGGAGATTATTTTGTAGAAAATTCCTTTATTATAGTGCAAATAACTTTCAGCAGTGACATAATGTAACAACACATTTAGCAACATTTTACACCACGCAGTAAATAAGAAAGTGTTTCTTTGAAAATATTTTATCATAGGAACATTATTTTTACATTAATGCCAGAAAATGCCATGGCTGTTTCTCAAGGCAATAGGGCTTTCTCCCTCTTTCTGGATATTTTCTTTTAAATACAAAATGGATTTGTCACTTAACAAAGCATCAATTCTAAGAGTAACCTCTTAGCGGGTTTTGAACTGAGGTTGGTAAGATTTGAAATGGGGTTTCAAAATTTAAAAAAATACTTTTAAGACAATTCTGGGATAGCCCAGAAAGCAGAAGTCACTTTCATTAACTGATTAAGTAGATATACACATTCATTTCAATTTTGCTGCAGAAACAGATTGTCTAAAGCCTGTCTTTTATTTCCCCAGAGCCTGATTGTTATTCCTAGGTTTGGGTTATTGCAAAACTTGGGCTCAGGACAGAAATAACTCCTTACATATACAAATGTTTTCCTGTGAAGCTTTAAATTGCACTTTCCACCCTGAAATTCCCACCTTACACCTCACATGCCAAGGACAGAGTATGAACATATTCCAGTTTATTGCTGGATAGACGGCTCCCTACTCATTTAGCTAAACCTAGGCCATCACACCATTTAGATTAATCCCAGTAGGCTTATCTAGGTGGTTCCTCCTGACCTCACAGGGAAATGAAGGGTTAATACTGTATTTTCACACTAAGCTGCCTAAGGGCTTGGCTGCTAATGAGTTAGCTGATAGGTTGAGAGAACACAGTGTCACTTCCAATCAGTTAGAGCCTGCTCCTCAAGTTTCCATTGAATTATGCAGGGGGTGGGCACAATGGGCAATCAGAAGAGCCCTCCCACAGCCTCTTCCATCACAGCTGAATTGAAGCCACTACAAATAAATTTCAAGGTACCCTCTAAGTCTCTCCTAGTAAGTGAGGAGTGAAAGGTTAAACACAGGCTTGAAAATACCCGGAGCCACAGATCAGCCCTGAGAGCTGAATATGGCTCATTTAGCTGATATAAACAGCTTGTAATATGCAGCTAGTCTTTTTGGATCAAGTATCTTTGTATATAACACCATAGAACTGCGGTAAACAGTTCCAAAGTTGAGAAGAATCCAAGTATATTACCTATAAAAAATTTACAATTTTAGTTAGTTTTAAGACTTTGGTACTGAAACACTGTCTACATTCTCGACACATGAAAATGATCTGACCACTTCAGTGCCTCTGCATGATGTGTAAAAAAGCAAAGCAGGACAAGGACATGTCATAACAAGACGCAGTATGCTGTACAAACAAAATCTAAATTATATATAAATATACCCCCACCCCAGCACCCCTTTCTTCCCCCACTACCTAGCCAAAGCAATGCCAAGAGTCCTTCTTTTTAGGGTCAACACACTTTGTGAAGTCTAGCTCCCAGGACTCCAACCATCTCTGGCCTTACAGTGACATTTACAGTTTGTAGCCTCCTGCTGGAGATACACCACAGTGTGATCACTTCACAAGTGCATAGAAAGTTCTATACTTCATTGGAAGCATTCACACTGTTGGCTGGACTCAGACTTCAGAGTCCCAGGACTTAATCTTTCAGATAAACAACTAGATCCTTTCCTAATCTGGATCCCATTCTGTCCTACTATGTACTCCAAGCCAAGACAGTAAGAAGCATCTTCTACTCTGAAGCTCCAAAGGCACTGCTTTGGGATATCAGTGAGGGTCACATAATGAAAATTACACAATGAGCTAACAGCTTAAGTTGATATAAATTATTTCCAAGTAAGTTATGTGGGGCCATTTGCTTGTGCTTTATACTGTATTCCAGAATCATTTTCATATTATACTTTTTAAAGTCTACATACTACTCAAAAATTGTTTATGCAGTCACTTCTTACGTGTTTTCAATTTAATAACAACTTAATGAACTATTATGTAAGTCTAGGGAGTAGTTAATTTGTTTTAAAGAACCCAATACTGTGCTAATTCACAGTAAGGAGAATGTAAATAGAATTTTACATAATTGATAGTATCTTAAAAAGCAGTTTTATCGAAACATTGCAAATTTTTCCCAAAAGCACTTACAACATTTATATGAGGAGATCCAAAGTTCAGGGGTTTGGAGAATACAACCTGATTCTTTAAGGTATAAATCCACATATGATTATAATATGTAATTTTCTCTCCTCAACCTAATATATTTATACATTCAAAAGTTTATAACTTGCTGTTCTTGAGACAGTGCTCATTCTCTAACACAAACGTTGAATATAAATAAATAGCTACAAGAAAGCTTCAAAAATCTGAATTGACCTTACGGTGTGCAAAAAAAAAAAAAAAAAAAGAAAGAAAGAAAGAAAGAAAGAAAAAAACAGAAAAAAAATTAAACTCTGAATAACCTACATTCTATGTAAATACCCTGACTAAAATGTTGGTTGTGCTACACAATTCCACTTCTGTGCAGAAATGCGTTGATTTCGGTGTACCGTTGTTTTAAATGCCCTTGGCATTTTCGTTTCTAAACATCACCTTGGTTTAAAATGATGAATAATTTGATACCAATTCACCAATCATGACCAATCCATTTTAGTTTAGTCTGAATAAAATCCAGCATAAATGTATTACTTTGTTTGGGGAATAATGGCTCGATGTCTTTGTCCAACAGCTTTCTCTCTATGGGCAAACCATAGCTGAAGTTGTCATTGTGGGTTTAAACTGCACAGAAAGAAGACAGTGAAGGTTGCCTTTTGTTTTCTTTTTAAGTCTCTACATCTTGATAGGACACTTCTTCCAGACCAATAGTCATGTAGTTGTGGCACCTGATTCTATTTGAAACAGAGGTGGTTTAAACATCAGCCAAGTTTGGTGATCTGGAGGTCCCCATTTATCTTTATGGTGTCAATTGCAGATAATGTTTGAATACGATGGTAAAAATCAAAAAGTTGGTGTCCATCCACAAACACTCTGAAACGTGGGTGCTCACAAAGAATTTCCACCTGGAACAAACAAAATAAATATATTAATTCATGATTTCAATGAACCCTGGTGGGGAAAACAAACTTCATTTTAGGGGGAGGAAAAAAAGGCATAATCTTCATTGATTCTCAAACATCAGAATGCAGTTAAACCAGAGAAAGCTAGTTGAACCACAGATTGCTGGGATCCACTCCCCAAATTCTCAGGTCAGTAGTTCCAAGGTAAAGTTTCAGAATCTGCACTTTCTACCAAATTCCAAGGTGATGCTAATGTCATTGGGTTAGAGAAAACACTTTGAGAACCACTGCTCTATACTATTTTATATCGTTTAAAGATTTTAAATTGCTTAGGCTTCTAACATTTCTTGCACTCCAGAAAGTGATGTGAAATAGTACATATGGCATTTAATGCCTACACTGTCTACCCCTGAACAATTCCAATTCACCTTCAGAGAAGCCCCTCATGAGGCAGAAGTGGTACCGATTAGTAGTATGTAATAACAATGTAGGCACTAAAATATAATAAACACTGAAGTAGGCAGAAGGTTACACAGTAATTACCATTGGACTAAGACTGTGTAATTAACAAGGCTTTGTTAAGCCAAACAGAAATACTGATTCCACATGGTAAAAGCTTTTCCACTCCTTTCCCTTGTTATTCATGACAGAATTACTGGCTCTGTGCGATGATGTATTAATTAAAAACACTGGTATTTAATAGGTAAGGAGAGATTCCATATATACTATTAGTCACATTTAATTCATATTATTGATAAAATTATATCACCAAGGGTCTATTTCACTGTGATGTTGTTGTTGGGGAACATTATATTTCTTCTAGCAATCAGAAACTCTGGTTGCTTACACTCATGAGCTAGGGATTAAGGTTCCTAATTAAGAAACTGTTACAGCCAAGAAGAGTCTAAGGGGACATTACCATCCTGAAGGGAGATATGGGATGTGAAAATGAGTGAAGGGTACCTTCTCCAGAGTATGAGAAGGGTAACCACCTCAAATTTACCACTGATGCAAAAGGTATGGATCCTTATTTTCTCCCTATACTGTAAAGGGAAATAATCATAAGGCTTTTGAAGCCTTTAGATGGAGAACAACATATTAATGGTAGTTCTGCTTGAGCAGGCTCATATATAACACAGAGCAGCCGGGGATTTAGCTCAGTGGCATAAGTGCCTGCCTGGCAAGCGTGAGGTCGTGAGTTCGATCCCTAGTACCAAAAAAAAGAAAACAAAAACAGAGCTTACTGTTAACGGGATGTGATGAAGAGAATTTCATCACAGGGTCTCACATTACAGTAAGTCTTTTTTTAACGTACTACTGACTTGTATCTCTTATTTGGCACTGTCCTCCGTGGAAGGAGGTGCTAAAGAAGGTGCTGCTAATGTTGCCTGATACATGGGCAAGTTGGGGTTGTGTTTCCTGCCTGCTAGACAGTATGTAGAAAATCTATATTCATTCAGGTCCAAGAGAAGGAATTTGTCAGCCATACAGCCTGTGACCATGAAATAGACTGAGGCTTAATTAACCCAAGGAGAAAAACAAGGTCACAGGCATGGCCTCATTAGCAAAGGGAAAAGAGAGCAAGAAATGATAATCATTCAGTGTTTCAAGAAGTTGTGACTAATAAGGTTCTGAGCTACTTTCAGACTAAAAAAAAAAAATGAGGAAACTTCCAGACACTTATTAATATTTACTAACCAATCAGATATTTGGGGGCAAGTATTTACTATATGCTTCATGTCATGTTCATTAGTACATAGCAAAGTGCTTATTAAATTAATACCTACCTAATAGCTTAGTATAGTAAGTGTTCAGTATTAACAATCTGGTTATTTAAATATGGGTGTATTTACTAAATGTATGGGCTGGACAGCCTTTGGTGAGTATTTAATTTCCATCAGCATACAGTACTCTTTTTAAATTTTTTCTTTCACCACTAGGTGACAAAATTCCTGGCCATGCAGAAATTCTGGCTGCTAAAAGTATGGTTGGCACACAAGAGATAAGGAGAACGTTACTGCTCTGCCAGTGGTTGTGGCTGTGGCACTGGAGGTACTCACCCTGAATGGCTGGTCTGGGATGAATGGGAAGTAAGGGATTGCTGACTGCTCTTCACCCTTTTCCCCAGATATACAAGAATTTCTGAGTAGCTGCCTGTCTGTGAACACAGCTTTGAGTTCAATGGCCACATCAGCAGGAGGATCTTCCGAGTCACCGCAGGTCAAACTGATTGCAAAACTGAAAACAAAATAGTCTCATTTATTCAGGATTGGATATAACATTTCAACAAGATCCTAGTCATTCCTCTTCTTGGTGTGTCTGTGTTTAATAGGTCATTACTCTTCATAACAGTTTAGACTACAGAGAAGTAGGATTATATTTAAACTAGTTTTATTACTGAAAGCAGGCCCTGTTGAAAACTTTGCTAGAATTGAAAATGCCTGAAATAACAGTTCAAGTACCCCAAATGATTCACACATCTGTATCTTAATCTACTTCAGAATTCTCAAAAAACAGCCTCAGAACTGACTCAGAAGAAATAATGTCTTGTAAGGTTTGGTTCCTACTTATACTGTTGATTTTTGTTCCAAGAATGTTTCAAAACTGTAAAAAAAGGGGAAAAAAAACTGCTTTGGCCTCTCTAAGGGTCAACGAGAAAATATGGGTCTATATTTATCATCTCTGATATAAATAGCTGTCTGGAGAAATGATGGCTAGGATTCATACACATTCTTTTCATGGGAACATGGTACTTTCTTGGCATGCTCAACTAGCAACACTGTCCACAAGGAGAGGAAGAGGAAGAGACTAAACCACAACAGGAGTGGGCAGGGCCCTGCCACTGCCTAATAATTCTGAGGACGGCAGGACTCTGCCTTACCTCTCTGGGTTGAGGTCTACGATGCCCATCACTAACACCTTCTTGCCTGGTCTCATGCCACCTTTAATGTGCCCACAAAATGGAACGATCTGCAAAGCAGTGGAGAAACAGCAAGTTTACAGGCTGTTAGAGAAGGGCCAAGTCCTCAGATCCTGAAGACCTGACCCTTAGGAAAATGTAGGTATAAAGGGGTACAGGCAGAGACACGGAGCACAGCGCAACACATTTACCAGTCGTGGGAAGTACACATCGGCTTGAACTGGAGAGCCCAAGGAGTTGTTTAAATGCCCATCATCCAGTTTCTAAAAATAGAAGCACACAGATTGGCTTTCCACAGACCCTTTTTTCTTCGGGGTTTTGGCAGAGGGAAAACCTACATAAATCGGTCTGAATCCAGCAGCCCATCAGCAGCCCTTCACAAACACACAGCCAGTTTCTGCAGAAGATGCCTCCTCATAGTCCATTAAATAACCTCACGAACCACCCACCTCCCCAGGAACAAAACCGTTTCTTCCATCAGGTAGCGAAACATCCTTCAGATCCAGATCAAATTCAAGGTCGAGGGCCTCCGAGAAGGCAGGAGGTGGACAGGCCCCTCTTCAACTACAGAGGATTCTGCAACCTCTGCAACCGGTGTCGCCCGGGCCTGCCCTTGGGGACGTGGCTGAAGTAAGGCAGCAGCGCTCAACTTCTCTCAGGCGCCCGGGGCACCGACTCGCTTCCATCAAGGAATCCCCAGGACATCGGGCGGCTGCGGGGAGCGCGCCCCGGACACGCACCCACGCGCACACACGTGCACCGCGCACACACCTGGCCACCGACTGCACCGGCCAGGGCTGCGGGCCTCTCTCCTCCGCGTCGCCCCACAGCCTCCTCCAGCCCAGCGCCTCCGCCCGGGAGCCCCTCCCCGCCCCCACGCCGGCCCGCACAGCCCGCGCCGGCTAACAGGTACCGGGCGCCTTCCCGCGCGGGGGCGCCGCGCTGGGCCTGCAGCTTGCCCTCGTCCCGGCCCCGCTGGGCCAGCGCGGCGGCGTGCGGGGCGGCGGGAAGGGCGGGAGGGGCCCGCACCCGCACACTCACCACCGCGGCGTCGCTGTCGGCCACCGACCCCGCCATGTTCCTGCGCTGCGCGGCGGGCGGCCGGGCGGCGGGGGACGCGGGACGCGGCGCGCGGGTCCGAGGCGGGCGCGGGCGCGCACACACGGCCACGCGCGCGCTCGCCCGGGGGCCCGGCGGCGACCCGGCGGGCAGGGCCCGGAGCAGCGGAGGGCGGGCGGGGGCCGCGGAGCCCCAGCTCCGAGCTGGCTGCTGCCTCCGGGACCTGCGCGGCCGCCGCGGAGTCCCTGCCCGAGCCGCTGCGGCTCCCGCTGCCGCTGCCGGCAAAGAAAGGTGGCGAGGCCCGCGCCGCGCCGGCCCTGGGTGGCATTTAAAAGCCGCCCGGTCCTGGATCTGGGACCGGGAACAGGGCGGAGACCCGGCCGGGCTGCCGCGGCTTGCTCAGCTTGCCCTGCCCTTCGGCCATTGGACGGCGGCGGAGGCCGGAGCCCGGGGCGGGAGGGACGGGCCAGTCGGGTCGGAGCCCGGGGGAGGGCGGGCGCCGCGGGAGGTGGGTGGAGCTGGGGGCCGGGGAAGGGAGGACCGGGCAGGCCAGGTGGCAGGTAATTGTGACACTTGGGGCCCTCCCTCCCGCCTTGCAAGCACTAACCTTCCTTCTTCCCCTTTCGGGGGTGGGGGTTGAGGTCCAGGAAAGATTAGGGGGTGGGCCCAACTCCGGAGCGGGAGACTGGGCAAGATTTCTTTCAGAGGTTTCTAACAAAGTGGGGAGAAAGATTCAGCCAGCTGACCAGGGTAGAGAGAGTGTGAGGTCCCAAGGCTTGCAGATGTAAATACTTGACAGTAAAGAAAGAGGCTTAGGTGGGGATATTTCTCACATAGGAGGCTGGATACCGACCCACAAAGCAGCGATGTGGGTCCCAAAGGCTCTGTCGGGCAAGGGTTCGGCTAAGGCTCAGCAAAGTAGACTGGACACAGAGACAGTTATTAGAAACCCTCCACTGGGCTCTGATTTTTGCAAGTCATTTGCCCAGTTTGGGATAGCAAATTCTCCCTGAAAATCTCTTGACTTTGTGGAGTACTTCCCAGGGAATACACCCCTCTTTGATTCTAAGGCATAAATTCCTTTATGGCATTTCCACATTAGAATGATTATGTAACCTCTCAGATAAAGCTGTATCAACATACCCTCTCTAAGGTGGCATCCTTGGCTTATGCATTCCATTGTGTGACTCACTGGGGAGTTCTACACTAATAAGTAGGGAGCATGTGTGATTTACTGCAATCCCACGGGGCCCTCGGAGGCTCTCTTCCAGCCACTGTGACGGGCTGTGTGGCCTGGAACATCACTGGAGCTTTTGTGTTTAAGCTTGCCTTTTATGGACCAGATCTAATCGAAGTAATCTCAATCTCGCAGGGAGAATTACCTGCACACGGCAGTAAACCACAATCATATCTCTTGTGCAAGTGATTTTCTCAATTAGTAGCTCAAGTGCCACACACTTGTGGTTCATATTTTTGCTCTCACCTACCAATCTTTATTTAAAATCACACTTTAATTATTCTAGAATATTAGACTGTTATAGGGAGCTATTGACATTTTGAAAGCATACTTTGATATATAACTCAATTTCAAGAGTAGAGGGAAAAAGCATGAAAGTTCTCTGACAATAGCTAAGAGTGACACATCCATCGTGGTGATTAAAGATCTGGTATCTGGGGTTCAGATTCTGGTTTCATTGTTGATTGGGTGATATTGAAAAAAATCACTGAACTTTGTGCCACAGTTTCTGCATTAGAGATGTTGCTAATTAGATGATAGGCTGGGGATATGGCTCAGCAGCACAAGAGCTTGCCTGGCAAGTGCAACGTCATGGGTTCGATCCAGTAGAAAAAAAAATTAGATGATAATGTCTATTTTGGATTATTGTGCAGATTAAGTATGTTGGTTTTTGTGCCCTCCTTAGAATAGCACTGGCACGTGGTAAACACTTATTCTATAAAAATACTTGGTGCCTGTCATCCACCAGTCACTGCGGAACCTACAAGGGACTTTTTTGGTAGTTATTAAAGTTAAATTCCAGTGGAGAAAGTTGATAAACAAGTATGTATTATATTAGGCAGTAAGGTGTTCAGGAAAAAAAGAGGGGAAGAAGAGAAAGGAAAATGGTACTATTTAAGTAGGGTGGGCACAGAAGCCCCCTCTGGTAAGGTGACATTGAGAAAATCCCTGCAAGAAGGAAGGCAGGGGAGAAAGCAGGTTGGGGTGCAGCGCCCGAGGGGGTGATGTTCAGCAAGGATCTGCCTCAGAGATGGGTGTTCCTGGCTCCTCCTCCTGAGAGATGGGAAGACCGTGGAAGCCGCTGTACATGGCTTCCTCTGGCTGCTTTGAGCAGTGGCTTTGGGGGAAAGGATGAAGGAGGGAGCAAAAAAAGGATTTAGGAAACTCTTGTGCCAGTCCAAGCAAAAGGTGCTAGTGGTTTTGACAGCAGAAGCGTTGAAGATTTGAGAAGCCATGGCTCTGGATACTTCCTAGTTATTATTATTATAAAGCTTTGACAGTTTATATCCCTTCTGGGTCTGTTTCCTTACTTGGAAAATTAAGGGGTTGGACTCATTCATCATTCCCTCTTAGTGCTTAGAATATTCTCTTGTTCCTGGAAAGCTATATAAATACCAACCAAATTTAAAAGGGTTTGATAGTAGGTGCTAGTGAATGAAAATAATCTCAAGTTGAATCTTGTGATAAGTGGTTTTGTAGAGTGAAGAATAATCCTTTGATTTGTCTAGTGCGTGGAATTTAAGGTTTTGTACTGTTAAAGATAAGTTTCTTACATTTTAGGAATGTAAAAAATAGCAAGATGGGGCTGGGGATTTAGCTCAGCGGCATAAGCGCCTGCCTTGCAAGTAAGCAGTCGTGAGTTTGACCCCTGGTACCAATAAAAATGAAAAAGACAAAAAAAAAAAAAAAAAGCAAGATATTGAACCTGCCCAGAATACTTTGTGTAGGAGAATTATCTTTTATTCGAAAAGCTCTTCCTTCCTTCTCCATCTGCAGAGTGGTTAATTTTATACATGGTGAGCAGAGAGAAAGGCTAAAAGAAATGTTTGTTGTAACCAAGAACTGAGCAGGATTGAACTACCTCTTACAGGGAAAAGCCATTAGCAAATTAATGAATTATAGAGCTCAAAAAACCTTTTTCAGAGTTGTAGAGTGAAATATAGGCAAACTTTGTACTATGCTTTGATTACAGACATTTGTATCTAAAAATCATTAACCAAGATTGGCAGCCATTAAAAAAATGCAACTAGACTCTCAAGATGAACTTTAGTACTGCTAGAAACTTCTCAAAAGGCTGTTAAAGGGAGGAGGCAGTCAAAGACAATCAGCATCGAGAAAAGTATAAATGGGGCTCTGAAGAGAGACTTTGCTAAAGGATCTTTCCAGATAAAAACAGTAGGTTACTTCCCTTTTCTCATCATTTTATGCTTTATTGAAATGTATACATATAGAATTTCTGAGATTGGGAGGGGAACAAAGCAGCGATGGTGATTCAACAGCCGTTTGATCAGCATGGCTGTGAGCAATAGTATGGACCAAGAAGAGAGGTTTTCAGGTGAGTCCACCAGGAGCCTGTAACATGAAGGATGACCTGCCAGGATCCCTGCGTGTAGCTGCTGGCTCAAAAGTCCCTGTCAGAGTAAAAGATCTCTGCCTTGATATTCTGTTCTACAATATTGCTGTGTTTATCTTGCTAGAATGTGCTCCCACATTTGTACAAGCATTCCAAAGTTTAAGGCTGAAGGGTGGTCATGGTACATTTTGAAGAATCAGACGCTGTGCAGTATTCTGGACCCATCCACGCTTTCAGTTCTCAGTAACTGTTTTTGTTGGGCCAGTCTCTGCCCTCATGATTGATATGCATGTAGACAGCAAAATACCCAAACTCAGCATTCTTTTGTTTACCTAGTTAGGTAGGAGGGAAGAACATTTATCAAGCTATTTTTCAATATTTCAAAATACAATTACAGTATTTAATTATTTTAGGAACTGTGGTGGTTATCATATAATTATTTTAGATGCATACACAAAAATTCATATTGTATGTAAGTAAAATTAGGGGACAGCCATAAAACTTGGCAGTCATCGCAACTCCTGACTTTTCATTATTTTTGGTTTATTTATGAGGAAGCTAGAATCAGCCTCTTGTGTGTGTTTTAATTACTTAGCGGAGGCAGGATTGATTTCAGAAAACCTGCAGTTTAAGAAGACAATCACTAGCCCATTAGGGAGAAGCTCAGGGCTTTAGAAGCATCTGCCGGTGCCCCAAGATGTCACAGCAGGCTTTTTAGCATGCCGGAGAAGCCATCGCTGGAGCGCAGCCCCTTCTCTAGAGAGCTTCCTCCTATGAAAGGTAACAAAAGCCCGGCTGGCAGAGGAAGCAGAATGTGTTCTGCCGAGGGACACAGAAAGAGCCCTGCTTCCAATGCTCAGAATGGGTAGACTGAATGAACAGTATTTTAACTCTTTTTTTTTTAAACGGCGGGGCTTTGTGCTTGTGTGTACACTGAGAATCAAGGATAGGTTTCCACACCGGCTCTTCAGCCTCACCTTCTTGCAGTTCTATGAGGCAAATCTGTGAATCAGCCAGGATTTTACCCGTAAGGAATGTGACAGGCCTTAGAGGTGGTGCCCCAGGCCTAATTATGCTCTTCTCTTGCTCCTGTTTTCATTTGCTGACTTACAGTCCTCCTTTTCTTTGCCTCTGTGATTTTATTTTCTTGTTGTCAAGTGGCATAAAGGGCTTCTCAGTTGTGTAGTTTCATGGAAACTTGCCTGGCTTGGCTGGGTGGAAGAAGACCAAGATTCCGATTCAGCCGTGCTTTGGAGGCCCTGACTCACTGGGAGGAAAAGAGAGGCAAGCTGCCAGGTGGGCAGCTGCCTTTTAGAGGAAACGCTTCGGTGGCATGGGTTTCTGGCCTCCTTGAAAAGTAAGTGACACAGAGCAGCCCTGTGTGCAGCACAGCTTCTGCAAACTGCCATCCAGAATTTAAATCTGGGAATTTAAATGTATCATCCAAATTTGGTTACTCCTATTGAATCAGCGAAGACATTCTTGGTATGTCTCAACTATTCATTGAGCTGGACTGTTTTAGTTGACATCTTTATCATTTTAAAAAAATAACCCATATATAGTT